ATATCTTGTGCCATGAAACGTTTTTGATTATCGAAACTGAAGTTGTGGTAGCAACATGGAGGCCCAAACTTCTCATATAGAGTGAGGAATTTGTGAATGAGCTAACTAACACTTGTGATCAACAGGCTTGTCAGTTAATTCAGAATTAAATCTTTTTATTTTGTCTCAATGTACTTTATTTAGTGCTCTCAGCTAAAACTTGGCCACAAAAGTTTTTCATGTTAACAATGATGGATATTAAATCTAAGATATGCGTTGCATAATATTGAGTGAACAAAATATAGCTTTCAAACCTATTGAAATCTCTTGAAAATTCACGAAGTTCACCAAAAGACCATTCTATGTACAATAGACATTTTGAAAATGAATAATAACTCATGTTACTTGCAGACTGTTGTAGCTCAGCACAGTCATGAAAGTGACATAACAAATACAAAGCCCGCGAAATTTAAGGTATATAACCGAATTCCCAGGTAAATTATCCCACAGAACCATTTTTTTCCGAAAAGTAGACGAAATTCCCTATGCGATACGCTACAGTTATATAACAACGTACTCTCGAGCTGTAGAAATCTTAAGTCCATGAAAGAAATTATACATCGTATAATTTATCAGCAAGAGCTTTACCTAGCTCAGAAGCAATGCTGATAAACCAAAAGATGAACAAGAAAAATATCCAAACCAAGAATGACGATAATTTATACTCAGACCAACTTATGAACATCAAATAGAAGTTAGCTAGTAATGATTGACCAACATGTAACCTATGAATCAATCGATTAAGACTAGTTAATTAGGATGTGAAAATCTACAGTGCGCTTGCCTCACCTATCTTCAACCATGAAAAAGCGAAAGGGATTTATTTTTTCCATTCAAAATAATACTGAAATCGCAAATCAACTATATATGAGCACAGTTAAAGTAGCTCAAATGCCGACAAAAGTTTTTTTCCGTAAACCAAATCAAACATAAGGCTGATCAAAAATGTTTCCTATATGACATTGATGGATGAAAAAAGTGGTTTATATCCTTATTTCGGTCAACTAATTTGATCAGTAGATTGGATAACTCTAAATGGGTAGTAGCATATTGCAGAGTTTGCATCGATTGTCGGTGAACGCGCGTCATTTGGATCTAGCCGCAAAGTTTTTGACTTTGGTCTTGGTAGGTATATGCTATTTGTTTTGTTGGGCCGCTTCTGTTTCTTCATTTTTCCGGTAAACTGTCATCAATCCTATATTCTTCTGTGATAATGTAGTGTTTAGACCAGGTTAATTTACGTTTTATTCATCGCGATCTCGGTTTAATAACCACTGAAATTCTCCACATTAGCTCTGACTATATAGGGGACGCAGCCCAGGCGAATGAAACTCTTCAATTTATGCGAAGACAACTTATAGCTGTCACTACAGAATCATTCTTAACGCTGTTCAGGAAATATGCAATCTGCACTATCAATTAATAGTTTGAATTGTCCATTATTTACTGAGTCCTGAAATCTTACTCATATTAGCATTAAAATTTTCTTATTGTTCTCCACATTGCGACTAACTTATCTCCGGCCTGGTAATATGATAGCTGCTGGTATCCAGAAACCCCATGGCCCTGGAACAAATGTGTTCGTTCAAATCACGGGACATTCAAACTCACAAATAACTGCCAACCGACTAGAGTTAGACAGTCGAATGACTAGAACCACATCCATTGGTTACCACCAAACACATGCAACCGTACCGAAAGAACAAGAATTGAGCGCAAAGAAATCAACTGGTTTCTACTAGCTCGTGAAAAAGATATTGAATATATTGGATATTGAAATGACTTTGGCTATGCAACGATTTTTGAAGCTTCATTGTGGTTATAATTATTATTCATCATTAACATGGGTAAAAGATTCATGTTTCTTAACTATCAGGGTTCTTATCACAACCTTAATTGCAGCAATGAATCGCGCGCTAAAATTTGTTTCCAACATGCTTTTACTACTGCCACTTTTTCTTGACATTCCAGTTGTACTAATAAATTCGATAGAAATTTACTAATCATTAGGTCTCACTTAGTAGTCAGAGTTAGTCAGTCAATTACAACGTAGAACTTGTACGTCAGTTCAGGTTGCCATACCGCGAACTACTGAGCAGTTCACTCGTTCTTTGGTCAGCAGACGAATATCTCACCTACTGCATAAGGGACGTAGGTTGACAACACCCAATCGAACCTCCTGTATTCGTGCTAACGTTTCGTCACAAACCAGGCAATTAGCACTGATGAGACTCCCAAGATACGTGAAGCGGTCGGCACGCTCGTCTAGTTCAGGTGCCGATGCAACCCAATCTTGAAGCAACATTGTGCAGTTCGACGGGAAAAACTGTATCCCGAACATGCTTGCATTGTTGCTTAAGGTAGTCAAAAGACACTGCAAGTCGTCAGCGTTTTCAACAAGTAGAACTATGTCATCAGCATATCCTAACTCAGCATGTGGATTTCCCGTTAGAAGGTCCACCCCTGAAAAGTCAGACGATGACAGTGTCATCTCTAAAAGCATGTCAATAACAAAGTTAAACAAGAATATGGAAAGTGGACATCCCTGATGGACACCACTTGAAGTGTTTAATCCCGAAGACATTTCGCCATATGCTCTCACCCGAACAGTGGTGTTTGAGTAGAGAGCTTCTATGGTACACCTTTTAATGACAGAACCAGCTACAGAACCTCACGGTCGACGGAGTTTAATGCCGCTTTAAGGTTAAGAAATACTACTATTGTGGGACGTCTGAACGTGTATCTTTGTTCTAGGACCTAACGTAAAGTGAATATTTGGTGTATAAATCCACATCCAGGTCGTAAACCAGCTTGGGTCTTCATTTTACAATTCTGTCCAATTTTCGTTCATTCTTCTCATATCTTTCTCTATTTCTCGGCGTAATGTGTTTCTTGGCCTTCCTCTTTTCCTTTACTTGAAGGTTCCAAGTAACGGCTTGTCTTGTGACGCAGTGTGTCCTATTCACTTCCAGCGCTTCTTCCTGATTTCCTCCTCTTCATGAATCACAGTAGATCGTTGTTGATGGTGTCTGACCAACGGATCTGAAGTATTTTGCGAAGACAACTGTTAATGAACACTTGAATCTTCTGAATGATGGCATTAGTAGTTCTCCAAGATACCGCCCCATAATCAGTCAGTCAATCAATAGCAACGTAGAACTTCGTACGTACGAACATTAGTTCATGTTGCCATACCACGTTAGCAGAGATGTAATTGTCAATTCCATATCCATAGTAGTAGAGGTAGTAAAGGTATTAGCAGTAGTCGGAGAGGTTAGGATTAGGATATATTATTCAAGAATTAGAATCTAGTAAAACAAACTCAGGAAGATAAAGATACGAATTAAAAAGTTTAGATTTGAGAGGACACAAAGAATGAATGCACCTGCGCCATTGCAAACGGTTTTGAGACATGTTATTCAGGATCTTTAACCATCGATTACTAACATCTCGCGGACCCCAACCAGGTAGTAGACACCTACCAACATGACTCAATCCACTTGTCAGTGACTTCATGGATTTCTGCCATGTTTTGGTCTGGTCGCTCCTAGCTTTCGTACAACCTATTCCTACACTGCAAAATATAGCTCGACGAAGCAGTCGGTGGTTAGACATACGCAACACATGTCCCAACCACCTCAACTGATGAAGTTTCACTACTTCGTCTATTGATCTGTCACCCTTACCTAGCACCCGTTTCCTAATAACGTCATTGCTCACTCGGTTGTCCCAGGATATACGAGCAATGCTTCGGAGACACCTATGATCCAAAACCAGTAACTTACTAGTATCTACTCTGACGGGCCATGTTTCACAACCATAAAGTAGGACGGAGCGAATTACTGCGCAGTAAACTCGTCCTTAAGTCAGCAAGAGGATATCTCGCCTGCACTATAAGTGACGCAGCTTGGAAAAAGCCAATCGATCTTTCTGTATCCGTTCTGAGATTTCGTCAGTCACCAGACCATTGGCACTGATGAGACTTCGAAGATAAGTGAAGCGGTCCACACGTTCGACTACTTCACTCCCTCTCACTAGTTCAAGTGCCGATGCGACCCAGTCTTGAAGAAACATTTTGCATTTGGAACATGCTTGCATTGTTGGTCAGAAGACTGCATTTTTCAGTATTTTAATCAAGTAGAACTATGTCATCGGCATATGCTAAGTAAGCAAGCGATTTTCCTGGTAGAAGGTTCACTCCTGAAAATTCAGACGAAGATAAGGTTATATCTAGGAGCATGTCTATGACAAAATTAAACAAGAATGGAGAGAGTGGATAGCCCTGACGGACATCACTTGAATTAGAGAATTCCGGTAACAGTTCGAAATAAAGTGGATCTGTCTTGATACTTGTATTGGAAATTCTGATTTTGGTGTTTGTTGACAGTTGTTTTGAGTTCAAGACGTTCTTCAGTTGTAGAATTGTAGCCGTTGCTTTGCCGATCCGTGCCTTTACATCTGCATCGGATCTCAAGTTTCCTTCTCTTGTAGCCTTTTCCACCGTCATTACTAGGTATTCCACATATTTCCGTTTTCGGCTCTGATGCTCTTCTTCACTTGCCTGTTTGCTTGTGTCTTTGCCTTCTCTGCTCTTGTTTGACTGATGTTGATTGCAGCCTTCTTACTCCTCTTTTCTTGAATTTTTTCATGAGTACCAACAGAGATTCATTGTTTTTGATGGTGCTTCTTTTGTCCCAGAAGCTCCTGACATTTTGAAGTGATTGCTTCCTTGATAGCTTTGCAGTTATTTCCTATAGTCGTTTCCTCTCCATTGAGCAGATAATGAAATGCCTAGAATCTATTGTTGAGTGTTGTCCTGAATTCGTTCAGTTTTTCAGTGTCCCGAAGAAACGCCGTATTGAACTTCTGTGATGCTGTTCACCTCGTTATCCAATGTTTGTTTAGTTTCAGTTTCATTTTGGGGACCAGGAAGTGATAGTCTGAGGCTATACCTGCTTATATATTTTCATTGTGAACCTTTCTCTTTTCAAGCAAAAAAGACCATTTACACCTACATGTTATTCGATAATCTAATTGTTTATTATGCATCTGATCTTCATCTATTACGCCTCATTGGGTACCGACCAGCAACCTTCATTCTACTTTATCCTGGGCTCTCCTTTCTGGTTGTTCTCAAGTGCTATCCGTTCTTTTGATGCCTACCTCTGATTCTTTGATCCTCCTCTCTTCCTTTGGGTTTAAGGATCCCATGTATGGGCTTGTTTTGTCACGCAATATGGTGATTTCCGCAATTTGTATTCTATCCACCTCTTATGTATCTTTTAATTTCTTCTTTAGTTTCAAGCTGATTTATTTTCTCGTTAGCATTTTTTCAGCGAGTTGGATTCTACGGCATAGGGTATGTACCCCAAGCCTAACCCACCTCCTTTATCCAGGCGTGGACCCGGAAGAAGCTGCGGAGGGGCTACAGGTTTGAAGAAACCTAGGGGCAGCCAAACCAAAACTGAACTAAACCTTGTTAGTAGGTATTGATTGCCCGGTTGGGGCCCGCAAGATGATGGTAATCGATGAATAGAGATCTTGAATGACGTGGCTCAAAACCGTTTGCAGTGGCGCAGGTGCATTCATTCTCTATGTTCTGTCAAATCCTAACCTTCTGAATTCCTCATCACCTTTTTAATTTTATTTCACTAGATCCTACTTCTTGAATAATATCGTCGAACCCTAATCCCTCCGAATACTGCTAATACTTATACTTCCTTTGCTACTATGAGATTCGAACTGACAATTGCTCCTTGTGCTAATGTGGTATGGCAACCTAAACTGATGAACGAAGTTCTACGTTGTTACTGATTGACTGACATCAGCTCCTCTCCTGGTTCTCACGTCCTCCAGGGTCCTGCCTAACTTTTTATTGATGTAGATATGGTCGATTTGGTTCTGCTTGGCGTGATCCGGTGAAATCCATGTAGCTTTCTATATGCGTTAGTGTGGCAATATGGTGCCACCGATGACCAGTTTGTTGAAGGCACATAGGTTTGCATATCCCTCAACATTCTCGTTCTTTTCTCCCAGTCCATATCGTCACATGATGTGTTGGCATCCAGTGTTGTCCATTGCAACCTTATCATTTACGTCTCCCATCAGAATGGTCAAATCTTTTGATGAGCATCTGTCGACGATTGACTGCAGCCTCTTGTAGAATTGATGTTTAACGTCGTCATTGTTGTCGTTGATAGGTGCGTAGTATTATATGACGTTAGTTGTAATGCCTTGTTTCTTTGACTTGAATGCCGCTTTGATGATTCTGGGTCCATGAGCTTGCCATCCTATTTGTGCCATTTGTTCTTGTTTGGACAGCATCAGTGAAACTCCTTGTGTGTGTATGAGGCATTTTCTTCTTTATGGTGAGAGTCTAACAGCAGCTCTCCTGAAGCTAGTCTCAGTTGTTCAGCTTGCGTCCAATGAGTTTCACTGATTACCAGCACCTCCAAGTTGTATCTTTTCATTTCTGCAGTAACCTGGAATAGTCTACCGGTCTCGTACAATGTTCGGACATTCGATATACCTAGAAGAATGGTTGTTGTGGTTGTGAGAAGGGGTATCAGCCTCATGACTTCCGAAGAGACTTGGCTTTCATCATGAGATGTCATAACTCTTCTGAAAGAAGACCAAACTTCCAGGGCAGAGTTAAAATGGTTTGAATTGATTTTTCTTGTTAGCGTTTTTTAGCGAGTTAGTGGTTTCTGGGATAGGGCCTTAAACCACATGTCCAACCCTCCTCCTCTATTTGGGCTTGGGACTGGCAGTAACCCTAGAGGGGCTCCAGGTTTAATGGAAGGTTACTTCTGCACTCTTTAAAGATCGTTTACCACTTATGGTCACACTGTTTGTCCTTCGATTGCTTTCATGACTAAGCTTTGATGTATCTTATACATCTAATGGGTCTTTCCATATTATGTCCTTTATTTCAGTTTTTGTGGTGGCAAGTCAGACTACCACTGTGAAACCTTTCTCTGATCTTCTTAACGAAAACGTACCAACTGAGCATTTACCTATTAATATCTGGACGTTGCGATTGCAATGTATAATGGAATAGGCTTACCAACTCCTCGAGGGAGTGGAACAAACGGTTACGTTCAGAAAAATTTGGCATTTATCAGTAATTTCAAAGAACAGAACCCGTACAAAACAGATGCCGACATTAAGAGAGCGGATGCTTTGCTTTTCAAGGAGCCAAATAAAGAAATATTAGAGCATGAACGGAAACGAAAAATTGAAGTTAAGTGTTTTGAGATGGAACAAGAAATGGAGGAACAAGGGTAGGTTTCTGTCGTATGCATTTTCTCTTAGCTATACTCAGGGCGAAATTGAATTTCGGGTTAGTGGATTTCGGAAGAAGTTGCTGGACGAGCTAAAGGCCTCTGAAACCAAACATACTCACAATGTGGAGCCATTCGAAATATCCCAGTCTGAGCATGGAAAATTGTTGCCTAAAGGAACCCATGAAAATGCTGCCGTAAATATCCTTAAAAATACCATTTTTAAGGAGGCACTGGGAATTGGTGAACAATTTCAAGATGGAAATTCCGTTGAACTAACTGTTCAGCGAAAAAAGGATGACGCAGAAACAAAGCGTCTAGTTGAGGCACAAAAAGATTTGAAGTATGTTTATAGTTTTTTTAATCTAAATATTCTGTAATATGCTTCTCGATAATTTGGTACTTTGTACTTTGGTTTGGTTACTGGGTATCTGTCTTTGTTTTTTAAATTGAATCCTAGACCCAGTAACAGTCATATTAAGTAATGTAATCGTCAGGTATTTCCTGATAAGAGAAATGCACCCATGATAAGTGTCATACAAATCGTAAACTTGGATATCCAGTAATATTTTTCATTCATGATCTTAGAATTTTTTTGACTTTTGAGCTCATAGATTATATTTATCCTAGTCACTAACTAGGGTCAGCAAAGGTTTAACTAACATGTGTAATGCGAGTTTAAACCAAACTAATCTGAGCAAAGTTACCTAACTAATCATGATCTAAAACTAGTATAAATTTAGAAAAGCTGATGGAAATGATGTGAAATTTATGGTAGAATTGGAAATATCTCTGAAGGAAATAAAGTAGATTTGTTGATGGTATTCGTTGTTGTAACGGATCTGGTCAATACACTTCCGGATACAGGCTTAAACTTTGATCCATGTACTTCCGTCCAGATAGCTGGTTAATTTTACTAGTCAAACATTTAAACTGATTTAAACTCAATTTTTTTGTGCCTGGTCTTAGTAAATAAAGCCTGCTGAGTGTTCACTTTGCCTGTTAATATCCTATGCAACAATAGAGTAGCGCTAAATACTGGAAAAAAGCACAATTTAATTTTTTACACCATTAACAATACAACCATGTAAATAGGGCGACAGAAAAAATCACTCATAATGATAAGACTGAAGGAAAGGGGATTAAGAAGTTAAAAATAGAGAATAAGTTGGATATGTTACATGATAAATTTTTATAGCGAACAAACCTAAATTGTATCTTTAAAAAACAAGTCAAGCTTTTAATTTTTATTGTAACTTGGTTAATTGGCTTTAGACAATAGCAAATGATCCAACTTAGTAACTAAGAGCAAACTCATTTACTGGCTTTTGGTTCACGCCTTTTGTGAGCTATGTGACTGTCCATTACATAGTATGTGGACGAAGATTCATACACCACTCAGGCGTTGAAAGTCAAGAGATTTAACTGCTAAACAACCGATCTAAAATATAGGTTATCGATTGCTGTTTTTTGTGAATAAATGGTGAATAACAAATCTGGAAAATGAACAATGAGATTATGATAGATAAAGCATACAGTAATTACCAACTTCTGGTCTCACTGTGTCCATCGTCAAGCCACCACATTTAACTCCTGCTCATCACATAATATATTTCAGGATTCATAATAATTGATTGTAAGGGTACTTTATCTATGAACACTTATAATATTGTAAGTACTTGAGTTTTTTGGAAATGAAAATATGAATAAGCCCAACTTAAGTTGTAACCATTTTAGTAAATCACCTACAAAATTAGCAGCCCTACAGTTGAAAAATTCATTTAACCAGTTCTCACTCCCATCGAATGAGTGTAAGTGATACTGGTTTAAGGAAAACTGGTTATATATGTTCTGTCCCTAAATAAAATACTAATTCTGAACTTGTTCTGAATTCCTTAAGTTTTAAGGCGCTCTGTCCATCAATTTAATTCATTTAATATGTAAAATAATAACAGTTTTAGTTGATGATAGTACTATAATCTGAAATGCATTATTTACAGTTCATAGTGCAAACGTGAACCATAAGATGATAATGGAATTGGTCTTGTAAACTGTTTTTCGCACATCTAGTGTTGGCCGGTTGGCTAGGATTAGCATTAAGATATAACCAAGAGATAACTGCTCATCAGATGAATTCCGTCGACTTGTTTTATTCACCAAAGCGAACAATCAATAACGATGCCATCACAATCTATCGTTGTTTTTTCACTCATATTAAAAGTTTTTAACAAGATTAGCATGTTTGCCAACTTATTTATGCGAATCTTCTTTCCCGGTAATATGCTTTGAAATCTACATATTTCTTAACTCGAACAAAAAGTGAGAATTCCCAGTGAAATTAATGTTCTCTTGTACATCAGTTACTCAATAGTTCCATTATTATCTTTTAAACCACGATTATGTTCTAGGCTATTTACAAATGTGAAACAGTCACTTCAAGATTTGGGATTTAAGTTTCGCGCTTCAGTAAACGAAGAAACAATCAAACAACAGTTAGTGTTATACTTACTTGATATCTTATCATTGTGGAATCACATTGAAGGCAGCGTTACTTGTAAGTTCAAAGTATGAGATTTCTTCTTAAAACAGTAGCCAGAGGAACACTTCACCAGTAGCTTACAATTATACCATCTGAACTCACTTGACTTCTTGACTTATTTTAATTTTCATGGTATGTACTCAGATCTACTACATCTTTAATAAAAAGGACACAACACTTTTTTTAAAATCTGTTTGGGCTTTGTCTGAAATGTGGCCTAAAAAATAAATAATTACAAATTTCTGCAAAAAAAAAACGCAAGAGTATGATAATCCTTTCCAATAAATCGTTGCTTAATAGAAACCATAAGCCACATTTCTTGTACAAGGTATGTTGAAACTTCTATGAATTAATACAGTTCAAATGAACAACATTTACTAAAAGTTAACTCTCTAAATTATCACTTCACCGAATCGTATTTTTGAAATATGTACAAATAATTAAACTAACAAAGTTAGAACTAAATAATTATGCCAGAAAAAGAATGTTTAGACTTTTTAAGAAGACTAGTAAATGAATCTAGTGTTTCTGGTTAAAAATTGTAATGGTTTCCTCTATATAGGTAATGGATTTGGTCATTAATCTTTATGATCATTTTACAGTTCGAAATATTAATAATCAGTGTAAATTATGTTTAATTGAGACTTCAGTTAATTAATACCGGTTTTAGTTATTTTAATTAATGTATTAACTAATGTACTAACCACTCAACTTTAACATTCATTTCGTTAGATCCTCTATTTTTTCATTTCTTCAATGTTTTACTAAAAATGATGATTGCGCATCTTATTTCAAAACTATTTCTATCAGTATGCCAAAGTTATCAATCGCATATTAACTGAAAAGCCATCCGATTTAGATGGATTAGGGAACTCATAACTTTCTTATGAAATGACCACTATTTATGGCAATGGTAAAATAACTCAACAACCACATGTGTTCATGTGCTCAGATTTCACTCATACTTATTTTTGCCTAGATTGGAGATATAGCTCTGTCTTAGACTGATCAATCAATCAGTAAAAGACAAGAGTCTTGGTGAAAATAAAAGGGACATTAAGAAGAAAAAAATTAATTATGGACAGGAGAAACTCAAGTTCTGTTAAAGGTATGAGGATGTTTATCACTTTTCGGTTGCTCACACCTTGAAAGAATACTTCTTGGGGTATTTGAAATTGAAATTTAGCTAGGAGTAGTATTGATGGAGTAAAAGTGTGACCTCAGAGCCGAAGAGACAACTTCTTGAGGTCTGTCATGCATTACCTTTTCGACAGTGGTTTTCGATGTGTTATCTCCTTACTTTGCAAGTCTTACCGCCAAAGACAGAACTCCATGGAGTAAGGTGAGACTGATCTACAGCCTTTCTCCTCAGTTGTGAGAAGGTAGGCTGGCTGGAGATTCTGATTTTCCACGCTGTACACCTTACTATCACCACACCCCTAGTAAATCTCAAGGTACAACTTTACTTTTGGATTTTAATTTTACCCATTGTCGAGTCAAACTGTTGGGCAAAGTGACAAATGAAGGACCAAGATAAACAGCCCACATTCTGCGACCAGATCATCACAGTCTGAAAGCCTGACTACCACGTTATTGTAACAGCTACGATAGTGTCTACACAAAATATCTCATCAGTCTAATATCCTTGAAATCTTCCTCACACTACTTATGTGACCTAAACAGATTAAAATTTGCAGCTACTTGTAAACAACTGTATTGTTCATCTTAGTTCAAAGCCAAAACATCACAAACAATAATTTCAGAATTATTACTTGGTCGGCCTTTAATTTTCTAAAAAAAATTCCAACTTATACATTAGTGATATATTTGTATACTAAGCTTTAAGTTGTGTTGTTTACATAGTAGCCAATGGTACTATTCGTTTGCCCAGAGCGAATCAATCGAAGTGGGTGTACTAGTTGAAAATCGTGTGTATTACCTACTAATCCGTCAGTAAACGAACATAAAACCTGGTTTTTTTTACGTTATTCAGCCAAAACATTTGTGAAGTCTCATAAATGTTGCATTTGGGGAAACCCATTTCTTCAAGTAACGCCATGCGTAGAATATGTGAATTTACTCACATCAATATATTCGTTTGATTTTGTCCATGTTGCATAGTTGCAGTGAGGTGTAGAATGTAAGCTTAGAACTTAACCCTATCATTCGGACAACAATTAATATATACGTCATGACGAATTTACACTACTGACAACTATTTTTAGATATAATTCTAGTGACTGAACTAAGTGTAGTATTAATCAATAAAAAATCCGTTGTCAGTATTCATGTTTCAAATTACAACTTTAGGATGTTTCATGCTTCTGAAGTATTTCCAGTGGTTACTAAATATCGTTTATTGATTAAATTTATTAGTTTTCTTCTCATCCGGCTGGGGCCATGGTTATAACGAAAACTGATAAATATTCGTGTGTAAAAATTAGATTTTTATACAGATATAATACATGTGTATATCTGACTGGAATCCAAAGTTATTACTTACTTACTTACTTACTTACTTACTTACTTTCGTCTGTTACCCCGATGGAGCATGGGCCGCTGACCAGCTTTTTTCAACCTACTCTGTCCTGGGCCTTCCTTTCTAGTTCTGTCGAGTTGCTGTCCATTCTTCTCATGTCTGTCTTCATTTCTAGGCGTAATGTGTTTTTTGGTCTTCCTCTTCTCCTTTGACCTTGAGGGTTCTAATTGAGGGCTTGTCTTGTGACGCAGTTGGGTGCCTTCCTCAATATGTGTCCTATACATTTTCCAGCGCTTCTTCTTGACTTCTTACTTTGCTGGAATCTGGTTTGTTCTTCTCCACAGTACGTTGTTGCTGATGGTGTCTGGCCAACAGATCCGAAGTATCTTGCGTAGACAACAATATTGATTGGGAGGTCCTTGGGTGCTGCTTCAATGTTGGATGGGCTCAGTGGAGCTGGTCGATTCAAGAGTTTCTTAAAGTGCTCTACCCATCTGTTTTGCTGTTCTTCAGTGTTGTTGATTATTTTGCTTTACTTGCTTTCCACTGCTCGTTCTGATTTACGACAGTTTCCAGCGAGCATCTTTGTTGTGTCATACAATTGTCTCATGTTTCCTTCTCTTGTAGCCTTTTCCACCGTCATTGCTAGATCTTCCACATATTTCCGTTTGTCGGCTCTGATGCTCTTCTTGACTTGCCTGTTTGCTTGTGTCCATTCATTCAGTTTGTGTCTTTGCCTTCTCTGCTCTTGTTTGGCTGACGTTGATTACTGTCTTTTTGTTCCTCCTTTGTTCAATGTTTTCATGAGTACCAACAGAGATTCATTCTTTTTGGTGGTGCTTCTTTTGTCCCAGAGGCTCCTGACATTTTGAAGTGATTGCTTCCTTGATAGCTTTGCAGTTATTTCCTATAGTCGTTTCCTCTCCATTGAACAGATCGTGAAATGCCTAGAACCTATTGTTGAGTGTTGTCCTGAATTCGTTCAGTTTTTCAGTGTCCCGAAGAAACGCCGTATTGAACTTCTGTGATGCTGTTCACCTCGTTATCCAATGTTTGTTTAGTTTCAGTTTCATTTTGGGGACCAGGAAGTAGTGATCTGAGGTTATATCAGCTCCTCTCTTGGTTCTCACGTCCTCCAGGGTCCTGCCTAACTTTTTATTGATGTAGATATGGTCGATTTGGTTCTGCTTGGCGTGATCCGGTGAAATCCATGTAGCTTTCTATATGCGTTAGTGTGGCAATATGGTGCCACCGATGACCAGTTTGTTGAAGGCACATAGGTTTGCATATCCCTCAACATTGTCGTTCTTTTCTCCCAGTCCATATCGTCACATGATGTGTTGGCATCCAGTGTTGTCCATTGCAACCTTATCATTTATGTCTCCCATCAGAATGGTCAAATCTTTTGATGAGCATCTGTCGACGATTGACTGCAGCCTCTTGTAGAATTGATGTTTAACGTCGTCATTGTTGTCGTTGATAGGTGCGTAGTATTATATGACGTTAGTTGTAATGCCTTGTTTCTTTGACTTGAATGCCGCTTTGATGATTCTGTGTCCATGAGCTTGTCATCCTATTTGTGCCATTTGTTCTTGTTTGGACAGCATCAGTGAAACTCCTTGTGTGTGTATGAGGCATTTTCTTCTTTATGGTGAGAGTCTAACAGCAGCTCTCCTGAAGCTAGTCTCAGTTGTTCAGCTTGCGTCCAATGAGTTTCACTGATTGCCAGCACCTCCAAGTTGTATCTTTTCATTTCTGCAGTAACTTTGAATGGTACTTAAATTGATGGTCGCTCTGTTTGACCGAAGGGTTCGGGCTTTCATCATGAGACATCATGACTCTTCTAAGTGAAGAGCAAACACGCGGGGCAGAGGTTAATTTGTCTGAGTTATTTTTTGTGATTAGCGTTTTTCTGTCGAGTTAGTTTTCTGCAGTAATGGTGTCGTAACCCCATACCAAACTCTCCTCCTTTATCCGGGCTTGTGATCGGCAGTAGCTCTAGGGGGTCTTCGGGCAATGTTGGGTAAAGTTATTGCTTCTTTAAAACTACCAGTTTTGCGTAAGGTTAATAATTTTTGTTTGCGATATCTAGTAACAATTTCTTTTATTATTTTAATGGACATTATCAGTTATTATATGTGTTGCTTAGACGTTAAAACATTGTCATTTCAACCAGTAGGTCTTAGGTTCCAATCTCAACACATTTGCTAATTTAGTCTGGGCATCCAAATAGCGTGTTGCAAGGTTGAGTTAGCTGCTATGTTTTCAATGTTTAGTGTGTTATATCATACACTGTTGGAGCAATTTTTTTCTTTTATTAAATTGATAGACACTAAATGCTGGCGTGAAATTTTCACTAGTGATTTTTTTTCTATACCGATGAAGATATCTTAAAAGGCTATTATTATATCTAGTGTATTACAGACTAACACATTAGGTAAATAACACAAATGTTTTAAAATTTATAACTTTCAATAAAATGTACAATCATATCTATCAGTTGTCATTTACTAAATGAACAGAAAAAATTGCCGAAATTTCTAAATACATTAGACATTAATTATTGAAAACATTATAGATTATTACTTTCGCTGCCTAACATTCCTTATCATCAAACAAACAAACAATTTTATTTAACAATGAATAATATCAACGTGTATTTAGTTATTAAATGAATTTTTATTCTATTAGTCAGTCACCAGTTCATAAATGTTATTAGTTTCGCATCAAATATTTTATTGTTTTATAATACTTCATGAAACATTTATCCATATTTTATAAAAAAACAAAAAAACTTTTTAGAACCCTGGATAGTTCAGATAATGATGATGATGACGATGATGATGGTGAAGCCAATAGTAGTATTAGTAGTCATTCAAGAGATAATGACTTAAAACAACAACAACAACAACAACATAGAAAAAAGAAAAAAGAGAAAAAGAAAAAGAAATCAATGAAGAAAAGAAAACACTCAATATCTGATGATGGCAGTGACAATGATTTGAACGATTTCAATTTCACATCAAATTCAATGACACATCATACAAATGATGAACGAAATCGTCATAAACAACAACAACAACAACAACAACAACGTGTTGAACAATCATCACAACACGAGCATAGATCAAGTAAGCATAAATCACATTCAAAAAAACGTAAACATTCTCATTCGAAAGAACGAAAACATCGTCATCACCATTGATAAATAACAACTATTACCATCGAATGGATAAAAACTGTGCTGTACATAAGGATATACATATATATATATATATATACATATATGTACATTATCTAAAGTATTGTCTAGTTTTCTTTTCGTACACAAGACTTTCTGTTTTATTGTAATAATAATGTTAATAGTAATGAATTTTCAAGAAAAAAAACAGTATAGTTGTTTGTCTATTTTTGTTATTTTCTAGCCAGTTTGTTATTGAACTCTTGTGTAAAATAATTTATTTAATAAGTCTGAAATCATTCAGATGATTTCACTATAACTGCTGTTATATTAGTATCAGTATTAGTGCTACATGCAAATGCTTAAATTATGTTAATTGGTTGTTAATTGAATACAATATAAAAACATCTATTTTATTCATTCTAATCTATTGAGGGTCTATTCACATGATAAATAAAATGTTTATTATTTTTTTTGCCATCAAACCTTCTCTTCACTGCCTATTAGATCTTTGTTGACTAAATTATAAGTAGGTTATCAATAAATCATAGAAGATACCGAACGGGTTTATGATCTCAGAGTAATTTACAGTACTAGTTAATGAAGTGAATTTAAATTTATTTCTTTGATTGTTGATCGTTTCAGTTTCTAAAAATGAAATTCCTTTTTCATAAACATTCAACATGTAAATATTTGAAAAAAATGTATTAAAAGTTTCTAAACGACAATTAACTGCTATTTATATTTATCTGCAAATGTTTCCAATCTATCTTGCTTTTATGACATTTGTTTGAATTGCAAAGTATGATTCATTCATCTGTATTGGTTATTCAAATCTTCCAATTGATTTCTAGGGCTGTGATTGTTCAGTCTCTTTTGGCATTCGTGCATTTTATGCAGAAGTAAATAGTGACCAGAAGTAGAATTCACGACTGGTGTTTCCTTTTATTTTAGGCTCGTTAGCAGCTGGATAAGCGTAGATGTAACTAAGATTGAACAAAAGGTGCGTCCTGAATTCCACTGCTAGGCAAAGGGTAAGATAGCCCGTCTTCCTTCTGTAGAGGCAAGTAGATCCCCAAATTAAATGCCTTTATGAGTCTCTTCCGGAAAAAGAGAAAAATTAGTTCACGTCACGTGCGGGTCTATTATTAAGCAATTTGAAAACTCCCTAGTTTTCTACACGAAAAGGGGAGTAGGTTTAGTTTAATCGATCAGTCGTCATAAAGCAGTCTAGAGATTCCAGGCATCAGTTTTGTTTCAGTGCTCTGAATCAATCCATAACAGTAAAATTTATGGCAGTAAATGGACGTTGTTTGTCTTCACTGACATATGACCTTGAACAAACTCATCATTATCAAGTCATGAATAAAATAGCTGGGCAGAAATTCGGATATTTATAAATGCCATTAATTGTATAGTTCGTGTGAGTTTCACTCCCAGCATATGATTTTTTCCTGACATTACTTATTTATCATTCATATCTCACTATTTTAATTACTCGGTGTTTGGTGTAAACATGAATCAATCAATGAAAAAAAGGCATTTAGTAACTCAAGATATGATGAAGGACAAAGAATAGATGTACGTGCTCAATTCAAGCAATTTTGAGCCTTGTCATTGAAAGACTCTAACCATTGGTTACGACGATTACGCGAACCCGAAACATGTACTCTGTATCTATTAATCTGACTCAGTTCAATAATCAATGTCTTTATGAACTGATGCCATGTCTTGGTTTGGCCACTCCAAACTTCATTTTCTAACCTGCACCAGCCATCATTACTTATCAATGTAGTCGGTGGATGGACAGATGTAATGAATGTCCTAACCAACTCAGTTGATTAAGTACCACCACTTCGTCATTTGACATACTATCTACTATGTAAACGTGAAAGAGAATATTAAGACAAGTATAAACCTTCATTATGGAAATAATCGATTTAAGTTTTATTTTAACCTAAAATAGAAGAACAATAATAAAACTCATCGATCTAGTTTACATAAGCAGAACCAGTGAGAATATAAACAATCCATAATTATGTATAGGTTAACAACATCTTATTACTTTCGTTAACATTATTTCACCGACTGTACACGTAAATTGTAAGGTTAGCTGAACCAAAATGAATTTTTCTTGGCATGATATTTTGGTGTATAGTTTTACAGTTTTGTTATTAAACAAACAACTTGTAATTAGTTTGTTAAGTATGAGTATACATATATTGATTATAATGAATGAATTAGAAAAAAAGGGTTTACTACACGCAACCATTTATCTTCGTAATTAATGTGTTCATTGTTTATTGAAACAAATTTATGAATTACTCTGACCACTTTCAAATTAATAGTGATTGTAGATTTCTACTAAAGGTTTTCAATGATTAAATATTGAATAAAATTTATGAAGATTTATTACTTAACTAAGTGATGTTTAACGAAACTGCTCAATCGCTGTAGACTAGAAGAACATAGTGAGACCTTGAACGACATGGCTCAGAATAGTTTGCAATGGTGCAGGTGCATCCATTATTTGTGTTCCTTCTAATTCTAACCTGAATTCCTCAAAATCTCTACCTTTCTTCTTCTAAATTTATCTTACTGCATTATACTTCTTGAATCATATCTTCGCTCCCTAATCTTCTCCATTACTGCTAATACTTCTATTCTTGCTATCACTCTTGGATTTGAACTGACTGTTGCGTCTCTGTGCTAATGGGGCATGGCAACCTAAACTGATGTACTTACGTACGAAGTTCTACGTTGCAACTGACTGACTGAGATGAATAACTATCGGAAATAGTCAAGTTATGAACATCTACTTCTTTTTAGATCAAGAATTTTCTGCAATGGGCACCTATGATCTGACTGGTTTAATCTTTTCGGATTCTAATTATAATTAAACTGTAGTAATCTCAAAAGGTAATACGTGTAAACTTTCATTGATTACACACAATTTTTCCCATTGGTAAATTTGAATAAGGATAGGACAATTAGCAGTATAACATGAACTGATTTTATTCCGCTGTTTCTCTTCAGCTGCTTACAAATTTCTACCGTAATATCTGAAAAGTTCTTATCAGTGAAAATTCATGAAAGAGCAATAAGGGCAACATTATTGGTTTGGTTGGTTTTTCATTTCACGAAATTGCCAGCTGGTTAGCCAGTAAGTTAGAACAAATCCGTTCAAAGTCACATGTCCTTAGTTTAAAAGACACTTATCGATTTACTCAAATGCTGAACTAAGTTGACATTTCTGATAAATTCTTGGTTTGCTTTAATGCATCATCATTACTTACCTCAATATCGCGGGAAGAAACCATACAATTAATCTGTCAATATGATGACTAACTCCCTTTATCAAAAGATGAATTTGGGCAGCTTCTTTTTATGTGCATCAAAGATATTCAATTCAGTAATGCCTTATATCGTCACACTGATGGAGTGGCTATAGGTAGTCCGATGAATTAAATTAGTAGACACTGTTATCGTTGATAATACGTGTCAAACCTCCATTTTGGCTAAATTTTATTAAAAGTTCATACTAAAAACCATCCACATTATTCTTGGTCAATCCGAAACCCCAACCTAACTGTAACAGATCTTTCCTTAAATATGCATATAGAACAGGTGATTATTTGAAACGAAATCTATCTAAATCTGTATGTTACGAAACGATCAAGCTCATACAATCGATAGACGTAGTTAAAGGAAAATCATATTTTTAAAAATTTCAGCAGTTGAGCTTTAAGTACATCCGACATTTCACTGGGCAACCTAGTCCAAGCTTTTTTTACTCAAGGAAATATAATCAAACATAACTCCGTCTGAAGTCCATCTGACGCTACATTCCAGGAGATACACTTGCTAACTTAGAGTATGCTGATGACAGTCCTTTTCGGTGAAGACGCTGACAAAATGCAGTCTTCTGATTACCCTAAGCGACAATGCAAGCATGTCAGGGATGTGGTTCTCCCCATCGAAATGCGAAATGTTGCTTCAAGATTGTATTGCATCGGCACCTGAACAAGTGATAGGAAGTCAAACAGTTGAGCAAGTTGACCGCTTCACTTATCTCGGGAGTTTCAGCATTGTTGATGGCCTGGTGACTGACGAAATCTCAGCACGGATACAGGAAGCTCGAGTCTACTGCGTAACAGTTCGCTCCGTCCTCCTATATGGATGTAAAACATGGGCAGTCAAGGTAGAAGATATTCTTAGGTTGCTTGTTTTCGATCATAGGTGTCTCCGAAGCATTGCTCGTATATCCTAGGACAACCGAGCAGGCAAAGCTGTTGTTAGGAATCGAGTACTAGGAAGGGAAGGCAAATCAATAGATGAAGTTTGGAACTTCAAGATTGGGTTGCATCGGCACCATAACTAGTGATAGGGAGTGAAGTAGTCGAACGAGTAGACCGCTTAACCTATCACGGGAGTTTCATCAGCGCTGATGGTCTGGTAACTGACGAAATCTCAGCTCCGATACAGAAGGCTCGATTGGCTTTTGCCAATCTGCGTCACTTACGGCGTAGGCGAGATATCCGTTTGGTGACTAAAGGATGAGTGTACTGTGCAGCAGTTCGCTCCGTCCTACTGTACGGATGCGAGACGTGGCCGTTAAGAGTAGAGGACTTTCATAGGTTACTAGTCTTCGATCATCGATGTCTCCGAAGCATTGCTCGTGTATCATGGGACAACCGAGTAAGCAATGCTGTTGTTAGGAAACGAGTACTAGTTAAGGATGGCAGATCAATAGATGAAGTATTAAAACTTCATCATTTGAGGTGGTTGGGACATGTGTTACGAATGCCTAACCACCGACTTCCGCGACGAGCTATGTTTTGTGATGTAGGAGTAGGTTGGAGGAAAGCTAGGGTCGGCCAGACCAAAACATGACGCAAATCCAAGAAGTCACTGAAAAGTGGACTGAGTCATTTCGGTAGATGTAGGCTACGTGGTTGGGGTCCGCGAGACGGTAGTAACCGTTGGTAAAGAACCCTCAATGACATGGCTCAGAATTGTTTGCAATAGTGATAAGTTCGTCACTTAGTATGCTTGAGGCTATTACGAGTTTACCTTAGTCGATAAACGCGAACGAGACTTTTACC